GTCGGCCTCCGGCCGTAGCCATGGTGGGTGTGGCCTAGTCGGCCTCCTGCACCACGGTGTGGGGGGGGTGTTTTTGCCCTCCCCGGGCTCCGGAGGCTTTCCTAAATCCTCCAGGAGGATGAAAACAGCCTCCCCAGGCTCCGGAGGCTCTCTGGAAGCCGGAAATAGTCCCATTTCCGGTCTTCCCAAACTTCCAGGGTGCCTGCTTTGAACCTTCCTCAAGCTTCCGTGCACTTACCTGCATCCAAAACGGGCCGCGTGGGGACTCCTGGGAGGGGCAGGTGGGGCCAGCCAGGAGTCAGATTTGGGGGTTCCCTGAACGGTGCCGAATCTTAGCTAGGGGCTCTCCCAAACCCCTGCAAACCCCCTGCAGCCCCAGCCCTGACTTGGATGCGTCTGGTGTAATAAAGAGAAGGGACCCGCGGTAACCGGATAGCCCTCTTCCAATATCAAAATGGCTGCCACAAAGAAGCAGGGGTCAATCTCTTCTCCAAAGCAGGGGTTTCCAACCTTGGCCGCTTTTAAGACTGGTGGACTTCGACTCCCAGAATTCCTCCTCCTCCAGTCATGTTAGCTCAGGAATTCTGGGAGTTGAAGTCCACCAGTCTTAAAGCTGTAGAGCAGGGGTCTTCCAACTTGAGAGTTTTAAGATAAGTGGACTTCAACTCCCAGAATTCCTCCTCCTCCTCCTCTTCCAGTCATGTTAGCTCAGGAATTCTGGGAGTTGAAGTCCACCAGTCTTAAAATGGCCAAGGTTGGAGACCCCTGCTCCAAAGCACCTGAAGGCAGGACAAGAAGGTACAGATGGAAACTTATCAGAGTTGAGAGCCAGCCTAGAATTAAGGGGAAATTTCCCGACCGTTAGAAGAATTAATCAGTGGGACAACTTGCCACCAGAAGTTGTAGGTACTCCATCACTGGAGGTTTGCAAGAAGAGACCAGGACATCCATTTGTCTGGAATGGTATAGATTCTCCTGTCGGAGCAGGGGGGTTGGACTAGAAGACCTCCAAGGTCCCTTCCAATCCTGTTATTCTATGTCCTATGATTTCACCGGCTCCTAAAAATGGCTAAAGCTGCCAGCGTTGGTGGCGCTGTGTCTCCGACCAATGGCGAGACTGTGAATTGCACCACCGTGAGCAAAATGAAAGCCGGGTCAGGAGGAAGAAGCCAAAAACTTTTTCAAAGTCAATCTCCCCCCCCCCCCCCCCCCGAAGACCCAGGAAGGCTGACTCATTTTCTCTGTTCTCCCGGCTCTTTCGTCACCATGAAGTTGAAGAAATAAGCCTGAGCTGCACGGATATTGGAATGGGGGAAGGACCCGAATGATAAAACGTCAGGGAAAGTAGGGGAGAATTGGGGGGAATTTCCAAAAACCGGCTAGGTGGAATATTGGGTGCATTTGAAGGAGTGAAATTTCAGAAACTCCCAAGCTCGATTCCTAGTCATCGGAGGAAGTTGTAGCACTGGAGTGTGAGTCAGGGCGGTTGCGATGATTGGAAAGGAATTTTTTAAAAAAACGGAATAGCTGTACCTGGGAAAAATGGGAACGCCCTAATATGAAGTCGGTGACAGTTTAGCTGGTGCCTTGCTCAATAGTAGTAATTGTGAGAGGGATCTTGGAGTCCTAGTGGACAACCATTTAAATATGAGCCAGCCTTGTGCAGCAGCTGCCAAAAAAGCCAACACAGTCCTAGGCTGCATAAACAGAGGGATAGAATCAAGATCACGTGAAATGTTAATGCTACTTTATAAGGCCTCGGTAAGGCCACACTTGGAATGCTACATCCAGTTTTGGTCTCAACGATGTAAAAAAAGATGTTGAGACTCTAGAAAGAGTGCAGAGAAGAGCCACAAAGAGGATTAGGGGACTGGAGGCTAAAACATATAAAGGACAGTTGCAGGAACTGGGTATGTCTAGTCTAATGAAAAGAAGGACTAGGGGAGACATGATAGCAGTCTTCCAATATCTCAGGGGCTGCCCCAAAGAAGAGGGAGTCAAGCCATTCTCCAAAGCACCTGAAAGCAGGACAAGAAGCAATGAGTGGAAACCAATCAAGGAGAGAAGCAACTTAGAACTAAGGAGAAATTTCCTGACAGCGAGAACAATTAACCAGTGGAACTGCTTGCCACCAGAAGTTGTGAATGCTCCAACACTGGAAGTTTTTAAAAAGATGTTGGATAACCATTTGTCTGAAGTGGTGTAGGGTTTCCTGCCTAAGCAGCAGGTTGGGCTAGAAGACCTCCAAGGTCCCTTGCAATTCTGTTATTCTATTATATTCATATCTTAACCCCAGCATCCATTTTATATGCAGGGAATTCTCCAGCAAGCCGTGGGAAACTGAAATTCTGGAGAATAGTGGCTAGTTATATGTATATCAATGTAGACTCCTCCATCACCCAGGCCAAAAGTATCTAAAAAGGTTGAACTGTGGCAACTGGAATTGGTTAATCTGAGACGCTTCGTTGCTCATCTAAGCAACTTCCTCAGTCCAAATAAAATAAAATAAACAAATAAATAGGCAGAGAGTCAGAGAATTGTTGGAATGTTCCGACTCTTGCCACACTGACTTCAAGGGTTTCTCCCCAAAATGATTTGTCAATGTAGACTCAATCATCCAGCCCAAAACTACCTAAAAAGTTGACTCATGGCAACTGAACTAGAATTTATTAATTCATTAATCTGAGATGTTTCATCGCTGAGCCAAGCACTTTCATCAGCGGCTAGTTATAATGAAATGGATGGCTAGATTGATTAGCTATTCCTTTGGCACATTCCTTCCTTCTGGGTAGAGCTAAAAAGGGCCCTTAAGCACAGTTGGCAGCTTGGCTTCACTGGGTTGTCCTTGGTTATCCTGTGAAGAATTGCCTTTTGGGACAGCCAGCCCTGATTGATAACAGTAGATAAAGTCTAGTGCAGGGGTCTCCAACCTTGGCAACTTTAAGACTTGTGGACTTCAACTCCCAGAATTGAGCTGGCTGGGGAATTCTGGGAGTCGAAGTCCACAAGTCTTAAAGTTGCTAAGGTTGGAGACCCCCGGTCTAGTGTTTTCCCAATCTCTGCAATGTTAAAATGTGTGGACTTCAAGTCCCAGAATTCTCCAGCCAGCATGCCTGGACTTCAGATCCCAGAATTCCCCAGCTAACATACTTGAACTACAACTCTCAGAATTCCCTGACCAGCATGTATGGACTTCAACTCCCATAATCCCCTATACATGGACCTCCGCTCCAGAATCCCTCAGCCAGCATGCATGGACTTCAACTTGCAGAATTCTAAAGCAAGGGTCCTCAACCTTGGCAAGTTTAAGACTTGTGGACTTCAACTCCCACAATTCCTGAGCTAACCTGACTGGAGGAGGAATTCTGGGAATTGAAGAAGTTTTCTATTCTCTAAGTAGCCCTTCCCTTCCCTTAAATAAACAGTGGTCTGTCCTTTCGATGGGGACCGTTACTTGAAAAAAAGAAATAAGATCCTCAGATCATCTCCTGTTGGAACAAAGGAGATCGGAGGGGGCCTTGTGTTTATAGTTGAAATTTGTCAATAAAATATTTTTTCTACTTTCAAAGCTGTGTGGGTGTTGTTGTTTTTTTCTTGTTTGTTTTGTTTTTTTGTTACAGAGAGAAAAGGAAGACCAGCCCCAGGAGAGTGAAATGATGCAACCTTAGGGGTTTTTCTCTTTTTAGCAGAAAATCAATTCTGTGAATTCACACCCTCTGGTTATAGTTCCCTGGAACTGGGCTCTTTTGAGGAGGCCGCGTCATTCTGTAAGCACAAATGCCTGCCGAAGCGTTTTGAGACATTTGAATAACCTCTGCCAACCAGCGCCCATGCAAATTCAGATCTGTCAGGCTGCTTCCTTCTGATGTTTGGCGGGGTGTGCCTGCTCTGTGAGACCTGCCTGATTCCCAGAAGGATCTTCCCAAGATGAAGATCCAGGAACAGTTCCAATTCTTTCTACCGTGCTTCCCCGAAAATAAGATCCTGCCTTACATTTTTTTGCCACTAAAAAAAAGGCACCAGGTCTTATTTTCAGGGGATGTCATCCACTGACTCACCTCACTTGCATGCGTTGCCCCACCACCTCCGCTCTCCTTTTCAC